CTACCCTCAGAGATTTTTAATGTCTCCTTTTTTTAGCATGTGGAAGTAGAATTAATCTTGATTTCCTGGCCTGGGGAATATTCCTGTGGACTTCAGTGAGCCGCTGCTGATAGTGCTTATCAAGAGGCACTGCTTTTTAACACCTCTTGATAAGTAGTTGTACATTATAATGGCTTTTTAGGAGCTAATCTAGAATAGCTTCAAAACTATTTCTTAGGAACTGTGAGAAGGACAAGGTTTTATTTGTGGCAACCTTTCAGGTAAATATTTGCACAGTCTCACAGAGTTCTCTGAAATACTTGTGATGTTACTGCACAGGCACGCTGAATAGAGCTCACCTCAGTTGAGGTTTGTTGAAAGGCCAGGACACTGTAGGACCCTGATTTTGATGACTTTGAGACATTCAGTCAATTTGTCTTTGATCCCTGCCAGAGAATAAATGGAGTAAATTAAAGTAATTTTTTAAAATCATCACAATAAAAATACTCAGTGCCACTTCCTGAAGAAGTGTCTAGGAAATCTTGTTAATGAAATGGGATAAAAAAATCTTATTTATCTCCTTTCCTTCTTCATTCATAACTGGATTTTTTTAAACCTTTCTATACTTCATGTGCAAGTAATCATAATTTTTAGTACTGACTGTTAAACAGCAATCTTCACCGTGTTTCTTTCCTCTTGTCCAGGTGACAAGGCAGGAACTGTCCAGGGAAATTGCTCTGTAAAAACTTCATGAAAATGAATCTGGAATCACCTCTTTGCTTGTTTTCCCTCTTTTTAAAAAAATTTTATTTCTCCACTAACCTTTTCTCCGTACCATCATATGGTTATGTTGTGTTCACTGTAATGTTGCTGAAACTTTTAGGTGGTCATAAAACGGTTGGAAATTAAAAAAAAAAAAATTTCCTTTCTAGTGTCATGAACACTAGAATGTGTTGGCTGGCCCTTCTTTAAGGTTGAGCTTTGCACTGAAATGACTCCTTTGCTATCTCAGTGAGTTCTGTTGGTTTGCTGGATAAAGAGAATTATTTGGATAGAATTTTGGCTGCAGTGTGTTAGATTCATGTAGAATGTCTGGATGCTTTTATGCTTCCTCCTTTTAGAGGATGAACTTGACTTCATTCATTTGGGCTTTGACTCTTCTGTCCTCTTCCATCTCTATTTACGTGTGGCTGCTTTTATCTAGGTCTAACTGTGAAGAACTAGTTCAGTGTTTCTTTTTTTATTGCTCTGGGGTTTCTTTTTCAATTGTTGATAACCATCACAGGGCTCAGCAAACAGCTGATGCTGTTTCTGTTTCAGGAAATAGCCTGAAACACCTATTGGAGCAATATGTAAATTTGTAAATGCAGGAAGCAGGCTGTTGCCAGTATAACTCTGCCTTCTTTGGCCAGCTGAATTCCCCGTGTTGAATTAGGATATCTGGAGGTAGTTATTCCATCCTATTGACTTGGGCATGGAAACAGCCTATGGGGATCTCTGTGTAAAAGCTTGGAAACCAATAAACGATTATGGCTTGGTGTGTGCTGAGGAAGGGCTGTTATTCCTTGCATGGAGAGCCAGGGTAAAAGGCAGCAGGTCTGGTGTCATTACAAAATCCTGCTTAGATTTTTAGGGTTTCTTTGCCTTTCATTCTGCCTGTTGCCTTTTTGGGATGTTGGCTCCTGGCCAGCAAAGGGCACAGGAGGTGTGAGGGGGCCGTGAGCTGATGCTGCTGTAATGAGAAGAAATCAGGGTCTCGTTTTTGCCCCAAATTCACCAAAATTCAGTGAGGGGTTTAGGAGCACGTGGTGGTGAGGACCAGCTGAGCAGCACAACTCTCCAGGGCACAAGGGACTGTCACTGTGGCAGGGAGGAGGACAAGCCTCTGCAGGGCTGAGAGTCTGGACAGTCCATTTTTGATTAAATAGGATGTTGTCAGATGAAGTACAGACCAGCTGTACTGCAACTTTTACTTAAAGACCCGATTTGCAAAAATCGGTAGAAAAACCAATTAAAAAATCCAAAAAGCTATTGGATTGAATTTGTTTTGAATTAATCTAATATTTTTACTTTTTGTATTGTTGTTTGGCTGTGTTCCTCTTATGGTTTCATTTTTGACAAATTTACTGGAAGTAGTGATGCATTCCTTTAATCTTAATGACCCATGATTAAGATAGCATAAAATTAACACTCCTAAGGCATATGTAAAAATCTTGGCTACTTAAAATAGCTGCCAGCTGAGACAACACATTTTGCTTTATTCATCAGTGATCTGTGTCAGTGGTGGCTTTTTACTCTTTGTCACTTCTGTCATTAGAAACAGTGGCTTTTTTCCTGTTCTTTGAAAGTATTTCTTTTATGGAAGAAAAACCCACTCAGTTTTGGACCTTCTGTGTTGCTGGAGGTGTAAATGCTGGTTCTGCTCCATCCATACTGAAGTTTTTGAAATTTAGGGGCAGGACTGATGGGTCCCTTTCATTATTTGGTGCTGGAAGGTGATAGCAAGCCAACCCTCAAGCCTCTGGTACCCTGTGACACCTTGAAGCTCTGATGGGGGAACTCCATCCCAGTTCCCTTCCTGGGATCTCCATCTCCCTTTAAAGGACTCCTGAAGTTTGTATTTTCAGAAGCACCCAGTAAAGTGCTGAAATAGCTCAGCAGACCTCAGGAGGAATGAGGGCAGTGAGAGGGAAGGACAGATGTACACTCCCACTGAACTCTTGTGCACCATCAGAGTGGGTTTAGGACACTTTTAAATGGTCTATTTAAATTTGTCTGATGTGTGAGGTGAGTTAGGGGCCAAATATTGGACTAGATAAGGCAGACCAGTGCCTTGTAGCTCTCCAGTTGTTGGGGAGTGTTTGATGGTCACTTTGCTTCTCCATGACCCAGCTTCCTTATCTGAGAAGCTGTTGCAGTTCCCTTGATGTGTTTGTAAAACATTTTGAAGTGTGGGAGTGATGTGGGCTTAGGAAAACCAGATTATGTCATTATTGGATGCTACAGATTGATTTTTTGCCTGAAACATTTGCAAAGCTAACAGGAGTTCAGTGATTTTGGTTTCCTGTAGTTTTAAAACACTGGCTAATATAATGTGATATAATGTGATATAATGTAATATAATGTGATATAATGTAATATAATATGATAAAAGGTAATATATAATATAATATAATATAATATATAATAGAATATATAATAGAATATAATGATATATAATATAGTATAATTATATATATATATAATAGCATAAAATACAGGAACCTATGAGTTCCTGTATTTTATAACAGGTAAAGTGTTATTAATCAGAAACTGGATAGGAAATAGATTAACAAGAACTAAATTGGGAGTGATGGTGGAACACCAGCTAAGCAAGACAGACCTTTTTTTCCTCAGTTCATTTGAAAACAAATAAAACCAAACCAAAACCACTCCCAGAAAGTCCCAAAAAAAGTGAAGAATACTCTTCCCTGTTAATTTGCAAAGCCTTTCAAATGGTAATGTAAGAAAAGTATTTGGGATTTTTTTTGGTCATAGTACCTGTTGGCTTATCTCAGAATCACCACTTCTCTCTGGTATCACTAAACCTCCTAACCCTTTTATTCCTTCTCCTTTTCAGAGAACAAGGAACAGAAAGAGCCTCCTGTGATTTGTTTGCCCCCAAGTCTGGGCAGAGCTGCACTTCCCCACTGCTGTGAAGAGCTGGGCAAGGATGGATGGGACATAGAGCAAAGCAGAAGTCCTGGAGCCTTAGTCACCAGTCTGATGGACTTCCAGTGAGTATGAGTAAGGCTCACCTGTCTGCCACACAAATAAGTGCAGTGGTGCATTATTTACATGTTTGTTGATAAGCAAATACCAGCATCAGCCTTCCTGAAGTGTCACAAAGGATTGGCACGCTTGAGGGGCTGAGCAGCTGCTGGAATCTGCTCCAGTGACATTTGCAGTTCAGTTTTGGGTGAAATGATGCCTTGACAGAGGTTCTAAAAAATAACCTATTAATTTGGGCTGAATTATGTTGTGCTTTTACACAGCTGCAATGTGCAGGGTTTTGCCCTGCAAGGTAGAGACAGGTATTTCTCAGTGCAGGACTGAGGCATTTTCTTGCCTTTTTTTTCTTGTTGAGCAATATGAGAGGACTCAGTAGACAGCAGCATTTATTAGAATGATTTCTTGTGGAGGTGTATAACTGCCTATTTTAGATCTGCACCAGCAAACTTTTTTGTATTTCTAGTGTCTGTGGCAAACATTTTCCTATTTCTTGTGTCTGTGGCAATCAGTGGTTTTGCTCCACGTTAACGTTTAACTTTAAAATAAACTTCTGGATGCTTGAAACATTCAGTGCAGAACCTCTCTTTACCCCTGTTTGCAAAACTTTCAGTATTGCTGTGGCACAGTTCCCCTGCAGTGCTTCTCTCCCTCTTTTTGGTTCAGTGGCTACAACACACAGCCAAGAAAACAACTCTTTAGAACACATAAAAGCGAAAAAACGTGGCCTGTGGGGGCTGCAGGTATCATGAACTGGTTGAATTTGTGTTTGCTGATGCTGTGCTGGTTTCTGTGTCATAAACCTCAGAGAGACACTTGAGTAAGTGTTGAGAGAGGGCCTGGCCATGGCACTGACACCGTGTGGGTCCCTGCCAGGAGATTCTCTGACTCTGGTTCTGCCAGCCAGAGTGAGCACTGACTTGACCTTCTCAGTTAGTGCTGCCCTCGTGCTAATGAATAGTTGCCACTGTATAATCCTCAGGCTTGTATTGAGAGGCTGCTGAGATCTGGTTTCATGCTGCACCTTGATTTGTACCCTCTCTTCAAATGCTTCCGCTTGGTTTGGGTTTGGTTTTTTTAAAATTTGTTTTATTTCCCCCTCTCTGCAAATCTGGCCTCTTTCCAATGGGAAAACTGACAAGAAAGCTGGACAAAGCCTCCAGTGGTGATTGTTTTCTTTTTTGTTTGTTGGTATAGGTTCACATTTTACTCCCCAACACTTGAATTGTTTCTGTACTGTTGACAAAGGAAAAATGACCTCTACTCTAGTAAGTAAACAAAAATATTCACAATATTTCTCTCTGATTCTTTTCTTTTAATTTTGTTTTATTTCTTTACACGTGACAGCCCATTGAGTGATGTCCTGATTAACAAGTCTTTTAAAACATTGACTATTTGATGTGTTTCCTTTTTGGCCAAAAGGGGGAAAGATGCTGTGAGGCAGGTGTAAGAGCCTCGAATTAACCAACATTTCAAGATACTTTTAGGGGAGATTTATGCTTTTGAGCACATACTTTTGATTTTTTTTTAACCTTGTTATAGTGGGATAGGTTAGAATGGCTTCTGACTAGTTCTTAAAGCTCTTGCAGGATAAGTATTCCTGGAATAAATATTCCTGGAATAAATATTCCAGGATAAATATTCCTGTTGCAGGCCAGTGTGTGTCAGAAATAGCTTAGGTGTACCTGGTGCTGTCACAGCATGAAATGGGGCTGTAAGCATTTATCCTGGACCTGCACAAAGGCTGTTACTTGTCAGCATTTCTTTCTGTGCTGGTGCAGCCCACAGCTGTCCCTGCTGGTTATTTCTGCCCTGTCAGACGTCCCAGGGCAAGCATTTGTGCAAACAGCTTGGCAGGGCTGGGCTCAAGAATCTTTCTTAGGCTGGGCTGCTATGGAAAGCAAGAGCAGGAGAGTGATCTTGGATTCCCAGCCTCACTCTGTGCTACTTTTATTATTCAAACCGTGAGGTTTTGGCCATGTCCAGTGAATCTCTCTGTCTGTGTACACTGGAGTCCCCAGTAAGTGCTCTGTGTGCATGGGGTGTATTTTACAGAGTGGCACTGGGAGGTTTTTGTCCTTGTTTCTCACTCTCTGCTGTTCCCTCCCTCCCCACACCACCCTCAGGGTCCGCCACCGCCATACTACGAGAACAGGGGCTTCCAGCCAGAGCCCCCCTACGCTGCCAGGCCGGCAGCAGGTGCTCACCCCTACCCACAGCTCTTCCCCACAAACCCTCCCTCCGTGCCAAGCTACGTCCCAAGGGTTGCCACCCACCAGTCCACCAGGCCAGCAGCGCCCCCGCCCAGGAGAACCTGTGCAGCCAGTAAGTTTTGGGGGGGTTTCTCTTGGTTTTGTGTGAAAACCCACTGGGAATATTTTTCTGTCTGCTCTGGGGTGCCCTGATCCCCAGGGGAGCACTGACTTTGATCCTCATTCATGGAGAAAGTTTCCTAGACTAGAATTCTAGTTTTCTAGAATTCTAGTCCAGGAAACTAGATTCTAGATTCTAGAATTTCTGTGATTTCTAGTTTTCCTAGAATCCACAGAAGTGTGAAATAGGTTTCTGATGAGCAGTGAACTTGTTAGGTGTTGTGGAAACCCAGGGCACTGGGAATATTTCTCTGTCTGCTTTGGGGTACCCTGACCCCCAGGGCAGCACTGACTTTGACTCTCATCCATGGAGAAAGCTTTCCAGACTTCAAGATAGACCAGAATCTGGTCTATCTTGAAAAGTGTGAAATAGATTGTAGAGATTAGTGTAGAGAAATTGAGGTTTTAGGATTTTTAGTATGTTGTGGATGGAAGCAAGATGGAGGGCACAGGGTTTCCTGGGTTTCTTCTTCATGCTTCTTCTTTCTTCTCCATGGGTTTGGGTGGCCTTTTTAATAATTGGGCAGAAAAGTCCCCATTGCAGCTCTTTGGGATCAGTTATTGGGTTAAAAGGGAAAATAATCCAGGTGTCAGTTCTTCACTGGATAGTTTAGTCTTAAAAGCCCTTGTACCAAGAGATTCTTGGCCATTTTGTGCCTTCTAATGAAAAGCTGCTGAACTCACAGTAGTGAGATTGTTTTACTGATAAGAAAAAATAAACACCTGAGTGTGAACATGCAACACCATCTCAGGTGCCTTCAATCCAGACCCAGAGAAACCCACAGCTGATACTGCCACAGTTTTGGACCTGAGACCTGTTGAAGTAAGATAACAAAGGAAAGGGACTTTCCCTTCCAAGCTGTGCATTGAAGGAGCCACTTCCCTCATGCCTTTCTTCCTGTTGTGAAGAAGTGACAGCTGGCTGGAGTGCTGGTGAAGCTGGGGGCTTTGGATGGATAGTGGAATGGAGAAAAGTCTGGCTAAAAATAACTGATTTTAATGTCAAATAAATAGTGCTGGTGGGTGGAACTTACTGGTGGGTGGAAATAACTTTATTTGTGAATCTAATTTCTCTTTTTCTCCTTGCTTTCACTTCAGGTCTAAGGAAAACCATAATAATAATATTATCTATATTAATAGTAATTTGTTGTGCAATTGCTGCTTTCTTCATCTGGTATTTTGGTAAGTTACTTTGTTTTCCTTTTTTTTTAAAGAAAATATGCATTAAACTTTTCAAGTTAGATATATCCAGTCTCATTTTATGCTTTATTCTCAATTAAGGACAGAAAAGTCTTTGTTGCTTTTCTCCTAAGAGATGAACTAATGCTGCTTCTTAATGGCTCACTTTTGTTTGTGGGTTAAGGGGTTTTTTTTCTTTTTTTTTTTTCTTTCTTTTTAATGCTGCTGTTACTTTCCAAATTTGAGCTTCACTTAATTTCAGGTGAAGGGAGGGGATTGCAATAAGTGTGCAAACCATAACTGCAGGACTGTAAATGGTCAAGATGTGTTTTGCTTTGCTAAAATGGGTTCTCTCTTGGAGCAGAAGTCATTTACATCCATTTATTTGTCTCGGTGGGTCTTTTATGTGAACATTGCATAAGCCCAGCCTGTCTCAGCACTCTAAGTTGTACCATGGATGTTTGCTTTGGAAATCATCCCCAGCTGGGGTGGCTGAGCTCTGAAGCAGGGCTGGACCAATTCTGTTCAGCTCAGGTGAAGTTTGCCTTTCAATGAAAGCTGTTTTGCTAAAAAAGCAGGAAACTAAAAATCTGGTGTTTTTAGGAGCCTCTCCTTTCCATTCTGCTCAGGAGAAGAGAAGGAGAGATCCAGTGGAAGGTGTCCCTGCTCATTGCATTGGGGTTGGACTAAAATGATGTTTAAAGACCCCTTCCAAACTACTCTATGACTTTAAGGGAGTTCATTTAGAACTATGAGGATGACACTTTGTGTTCTTAGGGGAATTTTTTTGACTCATTTTGATTTAAGCAGGGTGAGTGTAATCTTGTTTTAAACAAGAGCAAAAGTACATAATTGAGGCACTCAGTTATGTGCCTTTTCTACGTGGTAGCACTTTGCCAGTGCAAAGCTTATTCCTTTCTGACAACTTCATGATGCCTGATTATTCAGGGGAGGCCAGTGGCCCAAACCCAATCAGCTGCATCAGAGACTTGATCTGTGCAAAGGACAGAGCAATCCATCTCTGCTGGGGCAGGCTGGGTCCCTCCCACCTCTGGGTTTAAAGAACTGCTTCCAAGGTTTTGCTCCATCAAAGTGGGAAACTCTTTGAGAGCTGGGCTGATGTGGGTGGTCACCAATTGTTGTGGGTCCCAGGATGAGGTGAGCGATGAGAATTGACTCCAAGTTCTTAGAAGGCTGATTTATTATATTATTATATCATATCATATCCTAAAACTATACTAAAGAAAGAGAAAGGATACATCAGAAAGCTAGAAAGGAATGAATAATAAAAACCCATGACAGAGTCCTGACACAGCTGGACTGGGATTGGTCATTAATTAAAAACACTTCACACAGAACCAATCAAAGATGCAGCTGTTGGTAAGCAACCTCCAAACCACGTTCCAAGCAATCAGATAATCATTGCTTACATTTCTTTTCTGAGGCTTCTCAGGTAGAAAAATCCTGGCGAAGGGATTTCTCATAAAATATCACAGTGACAATGTGAAGCCTGGTGGCTGTGTTTGTGTCTCCCTGCAGTAGAGAACAACTGTCTGAGCTCCCTGATTGAGTGTGGCTCCTCAGGGGTGTGCATGCCCCCCTCCCAGTGGTGTGACGGCGTGAGCGACTGCCCCAACGGGGAGGACGAGACGCGCTGTGGTGAGTGACAGCAGCCAAGGGCTGGGGGAGAATTTCATCAACTGCAGGAGCCTAGGGGCAGATTGCCTGTACAGAGCTTGCCTAAGCTGCAACAAGGCTGTTTTAGCCTAAGGTCTGTCTTTAAAATGGTTTAAGATGTGTGTTATGATATTCAGTTTGTTTCCAGCCCGATTGAAAAGCTGAAATAAAACGCTCAGGGGTTTGAGCTGCCTTAATTTTGAGTCAGTTTTTTAAATCTCACCTTTTAATTTGAGTGGGGTTTGTGCAGAAGTGGATCAAGCATTGTCTGTGGATGGAACAGTCAGTGGTGACTTCTCAGAAAGCTTCAGGTGATAATAAACCTTCAGTCAGGCTTGGCTTTTTCCATGTATTTTGTATTCCTCGTTCTCCTCTTAGTTCGCCAACTAACTCATTTGTGTAAGAAAGCCTGGCCTAATCATTGCTCTGAACTGACAAGATGCCAAGGGAAGCTTTAGAGCTGAAGGCAGAAGGTGGAAAAACCTTGATTTGTCCATTCCAGAGGTTTGGCATCTTGGGTCATGCCAGTGCCACACTGGAAACTCCAGCTGTGCTTTAAATTCCCTCTGCAAACTTTTATTCAGCACATTCTCATGCAGGGTTAGCATTTCCTGGCAGCTGTTCCACCACATTTGGTTGAATAATGGCTTCTTGGAGAAGCCTGTTTCAATCTGTTCTTTTGCTTGAACTATTTTTTATTAAATTCTTGTGCAAGCAAATACATAATGGGACGTGGAATGTCAGAGCTAATTGCTCCTGGTTATAGTCTTGTATAGTGCTTTACAAAGCACTTCTCTGAAGAAATTTGGTGTATTAAGACATAATATAATCTCTTTATTATTAAGATTTTGATAAGATAATATGATCTATTTTTCAATATATAATTTTATTTATACACAGTATGTAATATATTAAGAAATATATGGTTGCATAAAGAAAACATCAGGAAATTTTCATTTTCGTTTTCATTCATTATTGCAATATTTCTCAGTGATAGAATATAACAGAGAAATTTTAGCATAAAAGCTGAAATGAAAGGATGAACTCTATCTTGTACATTTGCTTTTTAAAACTGGTAGTTCTTATAAATTGCCTTACATGAAAAGAAGTCATTGCCATATTTCTGTCTACTGGCTATTTACTCAGAATTTGAGTAGAAGGGAGCATTAAATTAACATCAGTTCATACATCGAGTGGATATTATGGGTAACTACTTCCAAGAGGAGAGAGCAGTAATAATAGCATGTGGTGTTCTTAGTTTCCTTTTTTTTTTCTTTTATCCTTTTCTTCCTTTTCTGGCAGTTAGACTTTTTGGACCAAATTTTATCCTGCAAGTTTATTCACCTGTCAGCAAATCCTGGTATCCTGTTTGCCAAGATGACTGGAATGATGATTATGGGAAGATTGCATGCAAAGACATGGGCTACAGTGTGTAAGTGCAACCTCTGTCAGTCTCTGCTCAGAAAAAGAAAGGTTAAAATTTCCCATTTTTAATGTGTTTGAGACTTTGCTGTGAAAGTGTACTGGCAAAGGGATCTCTTCATCTTGCCCTGTTACATGAGGTGCATACATATTAGGTAAAAATATTATATAAATTATATAAATATTATATATAAAATATATACAATATTTATAATATATATATTAAATATATATTATATTTATATAAATTTATATAAATGATATCAATAAATGATATAAATATTTTAACCCAGCGACTGTGGCTGGGCTGCACCACTGGAGTTTCGTGTTCACAAAAATGAATATAATAAACAAAAATAGAGATTTCTGCTGTCATGTCAGAAGCTCTGGCTTGGCACAGCTCATTGTTATCACCTGTTTGAAAACTGAAAGCACTGCTGGGTTTCATGGTGGACTTTCTGTTTTTTAGGGATACCTATTTCTACAGTCGTGGGGTACCTGACGTCAGCTTTAAGAGCTACATGAAGCTGAACACAAGTGCTGGGAACATAGACTTGTACAAAAAGCTGTACAGCAGGTATCTTTGGTTAATAAAAGCCTCTCTCCTTTCATCCAGGCTCTCTGCAGATGCTGGAAGAGGTGCAGCTTCTGCCTGCAGCACAATGCAAGCACCAGTGGGGATTGTTGGAGGGAAAGAAACTTTGCTTTTAATCTGATTGCAGCAGCTGTTCTTCCCTCTTTTTAAAAACACAGCTGTCATTTTTTCCATCCTCCCTGTCCTCTTCTAAAAGAAAAAAGTGTCCCATCCTCTGTGCTGCCTAGAAGGCTGCCATGTCAAAGGTGTTTTTCTAAGGCTCTCTGACCAGCAGCAGGAGTTTGTGCACGGTGACAAGAGCTACAAGCTGCAGCATATTCACAGCAGCTGGCACAGCCTTTCTTTCAGTCACATGAACACACAGCATGCAAAAATGGATCCTCAGTGTGGAAAGCTGTGACAGTGTTCACAGGGGTCTTATGTTGAAGGAAGAGACGAGGATCTGACTCCATGTTTCAGAAGGCTGATTTATTATTTTATGAAGTATATTAAATTAAACTATACTAAAAGAATAGAAGAAAAAGTTCTCATCAGAAGGCTAGCTAAGAATAGAATAGAATGATAACAAAGGTTTGTGGCTTGAACTCTCTGTCTGAGCCAGCTGACTGTGATTGGCCATTAATTACAAACATCCAACATGAGCCAATCACAGATGCACCTGTTGCATTCCACAGCAGCAGACAATCAATGTTTACATTTTGTTCTTGAGGCCTCTCAGCTTCTCAGGAGGAAAAATTCTAAAGAAAAGATTTTTCCTGAAAGATGTCTGCGACAGAAAGCGTCGTTTTTATTATCATTAAACCACTCTGAAGTGTCCAGTGTCAAAACCTGTAGACTGCTGTGCCTGCAAACTCCCTGCAGCTCCCTTGTTTAGTTCTTCTGCAACAACTTCCTAAATCAGCTCCACTTTCTCCATCTTGCTTCTCAGTAGGCTTTCAAACCTTTTGTGCTCATGCCTGCAGTGTCCCACAGGACAGTTTTGGTGAATGCAAGGCTTGGTGGTGTCGTAGACATCTTCTATGGAAAATCCTTTCTTTAGGATTTTTCCTCCTGAGAAGCTGACAGGCCTCAGGAACAAAATGTAAACATTGATTATCTGCTGCTGTGGAATGCAACAGGTGCATCTGTGATTGGTCCATGTTGGATATTTGTAATTAATGGCCAATCACAGCCCAGCTGGCTTGGACAGAGAGCCGAGCCACAAACCTTTGTTATCATTCTTTGCTATTCTATTCTTAGCTAGCCTTCTGATGAAGCCTTTTCTTCTATTCTTTTAGTATAGTTTTAATGTAATATATATAATAAAATAATAAATCAGCCTTCTGAAACATGGAGTCAGATCCTCGTCTCTTCCCTCATCCAAGAGCCCCTGTGAATACGGTCAGATGGTGAAGAAAGGAGGGAACCCTCTGCAGGAAGATGGGGCTGAAGGCAGAGCATGTGTCTGGAAAGGGCACAAAGCAGCTGGAGGGTGGGCTTGGCTCTCCATTTCCTTCACTGAGTGCCTGAGATGCTGTTTGGTGTTTTTATTTCCCCTGCAGTGGTTCCTGTGCCTCAGGAAGTGTGGTTTCTCTGCGCTGCATAGGTAACTCCCTGGCTTTTGCAAACTTCTGCTTCTTCATGCTTTGAAATGCCCTGGCTGTCAAAACCTTTTGGACCTGAGGCATTTACTGCTGCTTTTGCATGGGCAAATGATTTAACTCTGGTTCCCAAATAGTGCAGTTTTAGGAGCAAGGTGGGAGAGAGGAGACAAGGAATACAGTGGATCTCCAGTTGTTTTTGTCTTTGCTGCCACTGATTCCTTTAAATGACTTGTGGTGGAGATCCATATCCATCCCCCAGCACTGTGTTGGGATGTCTGTGGCACATTTGCTCTCCAAGACTCAGCAATTGGGTGGGCAGTGCATTTTTGACGGTTTGATTCCTGTCCTGAGGACTCTCCTGGCTGTTGGCTGCTTTGTTGCACAGCAACAAACAAAAAAACCAAAAAGAAAAAACAAACAAAAAAAAACGCAACCAAAACCAACCAACCAAACAAAAACCCACCAAAACCCCCAAAAACAAAAACAAACAAAGAACCCACAAAAAACCACAAACAAAAAAAACAAAAAAAAACCCCAAAAACCCCAAAACAAAAACAAACAAAGCCCAAAGAACCCATAAAAAACCAAAATAAAACCAACCAAACAAAAAATCCCCAAAAAACCTAAACGCAAAAACAAACAAAAAAACCCCCAAAGAACCCACAAAAAAACCAAGAAAAAAACCCCAAAAATCCCCAAACCAAAAAAAAACCCAAAACAAAACAAAAGAACCAAACACAGTGTCTGAATGGCCAGAGACTCCTGAAAGGTTGGAAGAGTTTAAGGTGAACCAAGGGCAGCAGCTGCCAGGTGAGGTTTGCAATTTAATGGGGGTCTGGGCAATGGCAAACTTGGGATTTGGTGTCAGGGCAGGGATTTGAGCTGTGCTGTGCCCACCATGGTGTGTGCACCCCTCTCTCTGCCAGGGGAGCCTGGGGTACAGAATCCACCTCCCAGCCCCCTCTCTGATGAAGCTCTGTGTGTGTCTGACCTTTCAGAGTGCGGCCTGGCCAGCAAGAGCGCGAGCATCATGAACAGGATCGTGGGCGGCAGCGGCGCCGTGCTGGGGCAGTGGCCGTGGCAGGTCAGCCTGCACGTGCAGGGCACCCACGTCTGTGGGGGCTCCATCATCACCCCACACTGGCTTGTGACAGCAGCACACTGCGTGGAAGGGTGAGTCCCCCTCTGGTCCACAGAATCCCAGAATCACTGGGTTGGAAGAGACTTTCAAGACCATCGAGTCCAGCCCAGCCCAAACTGAACCCTGGCCCCCAGTGCCACATCCAGGCCTTGTTAAACACACCCAGGGATGGGGACTCCACCACCTCCCTGGGCAGCCATTCCAGAGCTTTCTCACCCTTGCTGGAAAAACCTTTTCCCTGCTATCCAGCCTGTATTTCCCTTGGTGCAGCTCGAGGCTGTGTGCTCTGGTTGTGTCAGTGCTGCTGGAGAAAGAGCCCAGCCCCAGGTGAGCACGGGCACCTTTGAGGAGCTGTGCAGAGTGATGGGGGCAGCCCTGAGTCTCCTTTTCTCCAGGCTGAGCACCCCCAGCTCCCTCAGGGCTTCCTCACAGGGTTTGTGTTCCCAGCCCCTCTCCAACCTCGTTGTCCCCTCTGGATGTGCTCAGGGTCCCAAGGTCCTTCCCAAACTGAGGGGCCAGAGCTGGGCACAGCACTCCAGGGTTTGGCCTCACCAGTGCCAGGTACAGGGCAGAATGACCTCCCTGCTCCTGCTGGCCACTATGGAGTGGCCTATCCAGGCCAGGTCCATTGGCCTTCTTGGCCACCAGGGCACTCTGCTGGCTCATGGTCATCCATCTGTCCAGTACTCCCAGGTCCCTTTCTCCAGCCACACTGTCCCCAGTCCACAGCATCACAGGGGGTTATTGTCGCCAAAATGCAGGACTCGGCACTTGGATTTATTAAACTTCACCCTGTTTGCCTTTCTTCAAGCTGACGTGCAAAAATTTATTCAATTCTTCCTTAAAACTGAATTTCTCCCCCTGCCTGGCATGCAGGTGCTTGGGGCGGTGTTTTGTCTGTGTTGTAAATTTGAAGTATTAAGGGCAGATTGGTTCTGGAGGAGGTTGGCTGCAGCTCATCTGTCTGCTTTCTACAGGAAGACTTATTTTATATTTTGTCTTATTTACAAAATGAAATGGGTGATGTTGAGCACAAATACCCAGCCAATTTAATGTAAACTCAAGGCACCAAATTTAATGCCAGCCTGTACAATGTTTCCATGAAGATGTTGAATTACACTGTGAGAAAACCCAAAGGGAACTCCCCCCCTCCAAATTCTCAAATATCACACTGCTGTAGATATGATCAATTTAAAGATGCCTGTTCCATTTATTTCTTTGTATCTTTTTGCCACAGGGTAGTAAAGTCCAAGTCAGTATTAAATACAGATTTATATCTATCCAAGGAGCACTTTATGTAGCCATCAACAAGAAAAATAGCTGCTGCTTTGTACATTTTTAACCTATAAAACAGAGTTGAGGGTTCTGTGATACCCTCAGAAAGGGCAAAAATTTGTTTAAAAGGTGGCTGCTTCTGTTGGAGGGAAAACACCAAAAGAAAAACATTTTTAATGGTTGGTTGTCTGGATCACATTTGAGGCTGAGGCAAGGAAGAATATTTGTCCTTAACCTTGAGAAAGGAATGCAAGTGTTGATTTCTACCTGGAGATCTTATCCCTCCTTTGTTGTCTGGATTTGAGCTCTGCACTGTGCAAAAGCTTTGGGAATGGCAATCAAGCTGCAGCTGGCACAAACCTGGTTTTCAGCCTGATCTGGGTTTTTTTTTGGAGCACAGGCACAACTGCCTTGGCACTTCTCATGGAGGGAGTTTTAACACTTGTGGCAAGTTTTCTGTTAAGCTTTTGTAAACTGTGCTGGAGCACAAGAGGCTGCTTAAATAGCATGCTTAACTTTAAAAAAAACCCCACCAAAACCCAAAACCAGCCCAAAAAAAAACCCCTGGTGCTTTCAAGATAGTGAAATTCTTTCACTAGATCATGTTTTTACTAATTCTGGCTTCTGCTGATACCAGTGACATGTGAGACTTCAGAAATACCTGCCTGATCCCTCAGTCATGGAAATCAAAAGGCTTCAGTGTTGCAGTCTCAGACTTAATTTGTTGTGCTGAGTGATTAAGGGGATGGACAGTGATACTCAACCCACTGCAAAGATTTTATTTAATATATTTTTGAAACTAGAGCCAGGCTTTCCTCAAGTTACATGTCTGGCAATTTGTTTGTCCTATTCTTCAGAAATGGTAGTTAAATGAATGTGCATTTTTGATCACACAAACATTTGATTACATGAAGACAGTTTTTTGAAGGTCCTAATCCCTGTCTTGTCACCACAGAAGGAAACCCTGAGACCTTTTCTTTGTTCTGCAGGCGACTGTCTGACCCACACAGCTGGAGGGTTTATGCTGGGATTCTCAATCAGGATGAGATGCTCTTCAGAAGTGGATACAAAGTGCAACTGATAATTTCCCACCCAGATTATGACACAGACTCCAAAGACAATGACGTTGCCCTTATGAAGCTGGAGACACCACTGAGTTTTACTGGTGGGTATTCTGCTCCTCTTAATAAGGGAAAAATCCAGTGGCAGTGAGCACACCCTTTGAAACTTCTGAATTTCATCAAGCAATCCTTGTAGACACTTATTGGCAGAACACAAAATGATGCTAGAGACAGAGGGCACAGCCTCTGATTTCCTATACAGGATTTATTTAAATCTATGACAGGGATACGGGGTTTGGGCTCATCTCAATAATGTCTTTTTGCCTCAGAATGCTCTGTGGTGCTTCAGTTCAGCCACAGCTGTGTGTGCAGACAGCTACAGGTGCAGTGCTGGAGCTGCTGATTAAATCCCAACTCAAGTCAGGTCAAATGATGGTAAAAAAACCCTTCAGAATTCAACATTACAAGAAGTCCCTTTCATAAAAGCAGATGTAGGTTGTTTGTAAGCAATCAGTACAGAATAAAGAAAAGCCATTATTTAAACTTGAAGTGCTTTTTGTGTACAGGCCCTTTGTGTTTCAGTGCATCAGTTTAAAGCTACCAGGAGTGATCTGAAAGGGATTTTCTGCTGCTGAGAGCAGGGAGATTGTCTGTTCTCCAAGTTTTTGTGCTGCACACTTCTTGTATATATCAGTACTGAATCCTGCTTGTCTTGTGGTTATTTTCAGCAGATTTTTGCAAAGAAAATGCAGAGCTGTAATTTTCAGAAGTTTTTCTTCCTCTTCTACTGCTCAGAAGCACTGGTGTTAATTGTTTTATTTAACCTTATGCATTAACTAGAACCACTAACTGCTTGTCCTTCACTTTGAGGTGGAGATGAGGTAGATTTGAGGTGAAGATGAGGTAGATTTGAGGTGAGGTGAAGATCAGGTACCCCTCAAGGAAAGGACAAGCTGGTAAACTTTCTGCTGCTTCCTGCATTGGAATGTAAAGTACAGAGGGAATGCATGATGTGTAAGTGGTGGCCATTTCAATTTATTTTGAGTTCTGTCTGAAGATCCGTCTTCTGTTTGTTTTGCAGAAAATGTGAGGCCAGTTTGTCTGCCCAATCCAGGAATGATGTTCCAGCCCAACCAGCAGTGCTGGATATCAGGGTGGGGAGCAGAGTACCAAGGAGGTAAAAAGTGCTCCTGGAATATTTTCATCTTTCACATAAACCAGTCCTCGTCATCCTAAGAATATTGCTGCATGGGCTGATGGGGCAGTTTGAATTACATCTGTTCATACACTATTTTTTAAAACCATTTTACAGCCCCCAATATTTACCCAGGGCATTCTGTCTCAAAGCAAGTTTTGCATTCAGCAGACTGCAAAGGGACCCTCAAATACCCACCCAGGAGATAATTCTGTGCCCCTGCTGCAGCAAGGGTTGCTGCATGCCAAGCATGTCCTGTGGATATGAGGAAGGGCAGGAGCTGCTCCTTTTCACCACCTCAGGCTGAAAGAGAATAATGCAAATAAATTTGCAAGACTGGAAGAAGGAAAGGGAGGAAAAGGGTTTTTTTGGCATAAGAAAGGTGCTGTGGGAGGTCCTCTTGACCTCTTGTAAACTTCTTACGTCTTAAATTTCCATCCTGCTGCTTCTGGGAAGTTTATTTCATCTTGGCTGCTGGGATTTTCTGTAACAGCAGAGTAATGTGATGCTGATTCTGGTTTTGTCTTTGCACATTTGTGCCTATTCCAATTCCAGGTAAAACATCAAATAACCTGAATTACGTTGCGGTGCCCCTCATAGAACGTTCCAGGTGTAATGCTGTTTATATCTACAATGGCATGATTCTGCCTACAATGATCTGTGCTGGAGACCTGGCAGGGGGAATTGATTCCTGTCAGGTAATTATTCCTAATTAATAGCTGATAATTGTGTAAAAGATGAAATTATCTGATTATTTTTGTGGCCTTGCTAGTAGGTTTTTTTATCTTTCTGTCATTCTCTCTATCATTCTCTCTATCATTCTCTCTGTCTTTCTATCTTCTTTCTATCTTCTTTCTATCTTCTTTCTATCTTCTTTCTATCTTCTTTCTATCTTCTTTCTATCATCTTCTTTCTATCATCTTCTTTCTATCTTCTTTCTATCTTCTATCATCTTCTTTCTATCTTCTTTCTATCTATCTTCTTTCTCTCTCTTTCTCTCTCTCCTCTCTCTTTCTCTCTCTCCTCTCTCTTTCTCTCTCTTTCCCTCTCTTTCCCTCTCTTTCCCTCTCTTTCCCTCTCTTTCCCTCTCTTTCCCTCTCTTTCCCTCTCTTCCTCTCTCTTCCTCTCTCTTCCTCTCTCTTCCTCTCTCTTCCTCTACCTACCTACCTACCTACCTCTTAAAAATAAATCCTATGCCCCCCCCAAAATTAAAAATTTGCATCTCATCTGCTTGGGCTTCTGGTTCTTTTGGTGGTGCATCCCTTTAAAGAGGAGAGCTTTTGTTTTATCATCTGAATGGCTGCCAGTGCTGAGTTCTCACTAAATTCCCAAGGGGGGTGAGGCTCCTTTTTAATGCTTCAAGGATGGTTTGTTACCTGGTACTTGAAAATGATCAAATGCTCCTCATAACCACAGCATTATTATTATATTATTAATCACAGTGTTGTGGTTGTGAACAATAAAGCTAATAATGCCAATCTTGCTTAGAGGGCTCTGGGCAAATTATTTTCATCCCATTGGAAGCAGACATCATTTAACACCAAAATTGCCACCATATCTTGTTTCAGTGACTCCCTAAATGGCAGGTGGGTTTATATTGAAAGTGAAGCTGCGTTCCTGGGTGAAATGGGTGTCGTGCTTTTCCTGGTGCCTGTGTCACTGACAAGGTGTTTGTGTCCCCTGCAGGGTGACAGTGGAGGTCCTCTGGTGACTCACCACCACTCTGTGTGGTGGCTGGTTGGGGACACCAGCTGGGGCACTGGCTGTGCCACTCCCAACAAACCTGGAGTGTATGGGAATATGACTGTGTTTACAGACTGGATTTATAAAAATATGCAGGTAAAATATTCAGAGTTTTTTTCATAAATTTTAAGGCACCACATCCTGAAACGTGGTTCTACTTAAAAAAAAAAAAAAGTTACTTGCATGGTAACTAAACTGTTATGTTGGGAAGCATCCAAGTGATTGTTAAGACAGAACCTGAGCCTTTGTTTTCTGTTTTGTTTTGTCTTTTAAACAGGCAAACAGATGACAACACTCTCATTGCTAATCGATGTTCCTGAGGACAAGAATGAATGAAGCCATGGGGGCCTGGGATATTTATTCACTTTGTGGTTGATTTTATTTTTCCTCTTTGATTTTTCTTTTTAAAAGTAACATGAAGGATTGCACACTCGGTTCTGTGCTGGCTACAGTGACAGATCTTAATCAGTGAAGGATTATCACAATGAGCACCTTTCTTCTCCTTGTGGTGCTTGGCAGACTCATTCTGTCAGCTGCTTGCTGAAATGTCTCTCTTTTGTTGAGTAACTTTCACTTGATGATCAGGCTTATAATAACAATTTCAATCAGAATTTGATTTCAGATTTTTGTAGCAGGATGCTGAGAGAGTCGGTTTAGTAGTTTTTAAATTAAATGTTAAGTAATGTGAATGTTGAATCTCCGAGCTGCTGGTTGGCAATTTTAAAAGAAATTAATTTTTTTTTTTTTTAGTATAGAATTACAAAATGGTTTGGGTTGGAAGGAACCTTAAGGATCATCCACTTCCAGCCCCGCTGCCATGGGCAGGGACACTTTCCACTATCCCCAGAGCCCCATCCAAACTGGCATTAAACACTTCCAGGGCTGGACCATCCTCATCTTCCCTGGGCAACCTGTTCCAGTGCCTCACCACCCTCACAGGGAAGAATTTCTTCCTAAAATCTAATGTAAATGTGCCCTCTTTCAGTCTGATGTCACTAGCCATTGTCCTCCCACTCCATGTCTTTGTCCAAACTCCCTCTCCAGCTCTCTTGTAGGCTCATTAAGGACTGGAAAAGGTGGTGAGATGTCCCCAGAGCCTTCTAGAGGCTGAGCAACCCCAGCTCTCCCAGCCTGTCTCACAGCAGAGGTGCTCCAGCCCTTGGAGCAGCTTTGTGGCTCCTCTGGACTCTCTCCAGCAGGTCCATGCTGGGCATCCCAGAGCTGGATGCAGTATTCCAGGTGGGGCCTCAGGAGAGTAGAGGGTGAGGCATATGTATGAAGGGAATTTTTCATGCACTACAGTACAGGCACAGAAAATAAAAATAAAAAAAAAATATACACTGTCTATTCAGGTAGTTAAAAATCCTCAGGATCTCAACACAGCCGTCAATGAAAGTCAGACTGGTGCAGTCTGGCTGCCTCAGACCTTACAAAAATGTGCCTTAAGCTGCTCTGAACCTAAAATGGGAGAGTTGTAGATGTGGGATTTGGAGAGGGATGTCCCAGACAGGGATGTCCCAGACAGGGATGCTCTGGATAGAGATAGGCTGGATAGGAGGATGCTCCTGGACAGGGATGTCCCAGACAGGGATGCCCAGGACAGGGATGCCCCAAGACAGGGATGCTCTGGACAGGGAAGCTCCAGGCAGGGAAGCTCCAGGCAGGGATGTCCTGGGTAGGGATGTCCTGGACAGGGATGCCCCAAACAGGGATGTCTCAAGCAGGGATGCTCTGGACAGGGATGTCCCAGACAGGGATGCTCTGGACAGGGAAGCTCCGGGCAGAGATGCCCCAGAGCTGCAGCAGGAGCAGTCTCAGTGCTGAGGGCCCTGTCTGAGCACATTGAAGGAGACTTTTGACCTCTCCCTGCTCTGGAAGGGCAAAGGAGTGCAGGCAGGCTGTGCTGCACACACACACACACACACACACACACACACACACTGGGACTGGATGTTTTGTACAAGGAAACACAAAGCTGCGTTTCTGCAGGATCAGATGAACTACCTCATTTGTTAAATTTGGCTTCTGATTCCTTAGAGCTCTCCTTTATGTATCAACCTGTATGTTTTTAGCAAAATGTAATTTGTATCCGAGTGCCACCCGACTGAGGATTTTGAAAATAATTTATAATCGTGGTAGAGGATCAAAAAGCCATATCAAGTCACTTTGTTAAGTATAAATCTTTATTGAATGAAATGACTCTACTAGTCTCGTTTTCTCTTCTGGTACTGAAATGCAATTATCTTACATGTAAACACTGCTCCAAATAAATTGGGTTTTTTTCCTTTTTTTTTTTTTTTTACAAATAGTTTTCCTTAGTTGTGCTTTATATCTGTTTATTTGGGTTTTGGTTTTGAAAGCAGGTGCTGGATTCAGTGTATGAAGTGCTTTGAGAGTCTGATTAAAAAAACCCAAACCAACAACAAACAGACAAAACAAAAAACCCCCAAAAAAACCCTCCAGAAAAAACAAAAAAAAAAAAAAAGAAAGAAAAACAACTCAAGAGGGTGAGCTGAGAGATTATTTTAATTCCAATATTTCAGGTCCATGAACAAACCCAGGGAACTAGAGCAGGATGTCCAGGAATGCTGAGTGGTTTTGGTGGCTGGGCCTGATGAAATTACTCTGATTTAATTGAATTAGATAAGGAAGTTTAGCCTGCAGGCAGTGGCCTGAGGCAGTCACACCCTACTCTGTCATTCCCCTCCTGCTGCCTGCAGCAATGAGTCCCTGCCTCTCCTCTCCAGGTGTGAGATGGGTGTTTGCAATAGCACCTGTGCACCTTGGGGGATGGGGGAATGCCATGAAATAACCAACGAGTTTAAAGTACTTCCAAAAGAGAAATTTAAAAAATGAAGTTTTTCTGAGGCTTCTTGCAGCACTGCAAGTCACTAATAGCAAAATGATGTACTGGGAGAAAGGGGAAACTGGCTGCAGTGTTCAAGAAGGTTGAGGAAGCGGGGTGTTGGGGTGAATGCTGTACCAAAAGTCACACACCAGCCACAGGGACAAACCCTTTCTGTCATACCCAGCCTGAGGAGAAGGCTTCTCCTGTAGGAAACTTGGAAATGACTACATCACACACTGGTATAAGTAGATGTTTTTTTTTTTTCTAGCTGGATGCAGACATTACTTTTGGGTATCAAACCAAATCTTCCATGTGAAAAATGTCATGAACACAGTGTGTTATGTATTTTGCATCAGCTTTCATGAAATGAAAGTGTGGTGTTTGTGAGGGTTTCCAGGATGAGGGAAGAGATGAATCTGACTCCATGCTCTCAGAAGGCTGATTTATTGTATTATGATATTAAATTATATTAAAGAATGCTATACTAAAACTATACTAAAGAAAGAGAAAGGACACATCAGAAGATTTAACAAGAATGAATAATAAAAATTTGTGACTCCTCAGAGCCTTGACACAGCTGGACCATGATTGGCTATTAAATTAAAACAAGTCACATGTTTGGATAAGCAATCTCCAAATCACATTCCAAAGCAGCAAAACAGGGAGAAGCTGAAGCTTCTCAGCTTCCCAGGAGAAGAAATAGTGGCAAAGGGATTTTTCAGAAAATTTCACAGTGACATAAGAGAGCTTTTGGAAAGGTTCTCCTTGCCCTGGGGAGGGAAAGGAGAAAGGCAGCAAAACACATGCTGAGAGACCCTTGTACTGTTTATCATCCGGGGAGGTTTCTTTCCTTTTGGACATCCAAATCCTGCCCACCAATCCCAGAATGTCAGGTGATGCTGCAGACATCTGAGAGGAGGATCCTCTTGGCCTTCTGCAAATCAGAGAGCTGGGAAAGGAGACTGAACAGAGCCAGTGGCATCCTCTGGATGCACCAGCCACATAAAGGAAATAAACTTCATTTTCCTTCTAGGCTGGAAGGGTTTCATGCCTGCTGTGAGCTCCTCTCTCCCTCCTGGGCTGAGATTTAGTGGTGACACTTTGCAGAGGTGTCTTTTAGGTGATAGCAGGAAAGAGAACAACCCCAGCAAGCCAAAAACACAAAGGGAAGTGGGAGATCATCACTGTCATGCACTAAGCTTCATTGAGGAAAGCTAGATAATTTGCTTTCTACAGTTTGTGAATGATACAGCTTCCATCATTAAAAAGAAAAAAAAACAACTCCAACAAAACATACAATCCTCAGAGTGTTAGCTTTTTAATGATTATTCCAGTGGTTACACAGAGTTCACAAAGAAAATGTTTTAAAATGGGATAATGTTTATTTAATCACAACTCCCCCAGTGGAGCTCTTAATGCAAAGGCAGCTGTTTGCATATGATTATGGAAAATAAAGAATAACTGAAAACTAGAAATTAGCATTAAAGGTCTGCACTGATGCTACATTTTTATGGGATTATACGAAATTCTTCAGTAATGCTAGAAGATGAGGAGAAAAAAAACCTCATGAAAACCAAAGAAATTACAACAAGCTGAATTCTCTCAGGTACTGGCAGGCTTTGGTGAGACGATCAACTCTTTGGCTGAGGTAATTCCTGGTTTTAGCAGCTTCAGAATCCTCATCAAGGAGAAAGTTTAACTTCTCTTTATCTTGTAAAAGTTGCAGCATTGAGGTCTGCAGGTTTTCTCCAAAGTCATGAAGGACAGAAGACAGGATGATCAGAGGGATCTGATTGGCAAGGCGCTTGCTTGCTTCCTGTGAGATGGAGGGGAAAAAAACCAAAATACTAAATTGGTAAAAAGAACTCAAAAATGAAGGATCCATAGGTAATCTGGTAAAAAAAGTGGCTCCAAGATTTTAAAATGTTGGACTGAGTTACTGTTCAAGAAGGGAGTGATGCTATGAACTAAAAAATGTTTGCTACCAATGTCTTTTGCGCCTGAAATCTAAAAATTAAGAGTAATGGGGATATCAGCTGCTGCTTTTCTTCCCTCAGCAAACTAAAACCAAGGCAGAATGTCCTCTGCTCAGCCCTGCCAGCTCTCACTGGGACAAGTTATAGAAGGACATTCCTGACAAACAGAACTTGTGCCCAATTTCTGGTGTCCAACTTGTCTTCACCGAATGCTTACGATATGTTTTGATGCAGGAAATCAGAGAGTGATTTTTCCTAAAGCTGGTAAATTCCTCTATTAGATGGTAAAAAAAACCTGGTAAATTCCTCCATTAGATGGTGGTATTTAGATGGTATTTCTGACGTACTTGTCCTTTTAAACTTAAAACAGCTTTGGGAGGAAGCTTTAGCCTTAAGGGGAAATGACCTCAGCAGCAGTGAGACCAGACTGTGCCTACATTACATCTGTTTTTATCCCCATGAGATGATCTCCTGTGTGACCTGACCCGGTTCATTTATGGATGCAAACAGATTGAT